GCCCTGTGTTGTCTCCTCCCCCCTCACCTGTGTCTAGTTGCTGATTAGTGTGTGTGGGTATTTAGGCTCTGTTTCCCTGTCTGTTAAGAGAGGGAGTGTGTGTGTGTGAGATCCTGGTGGCTGCAGGCTGGGCTCATGTGAACAGCAGCAGCAGGATTGAGGCTGTGTGTAATGTGTTCATATTTTAATAAATGCCCACGTCGGGTTATATGTTTGGACGTTCTGCCTCTGCCTCCTTGCTTGGTCTGGGCCGCTCAATGGTCAGCTTCACACTATTGAAATATTATAGGGCTACTATAGCTAATAAAATGGCACTACATAAAAAACTATAGTAATACAATAGCTGGTGAAAAATACAAACTTACTAAAGGACACTATACAACTCTTATAGTATACTATAGTAATACTATATTCATTTATAGTTCATTTCGTAAGGGAGGTGCATACAGCAGACAGCAGTTTTGACAGATTACAGCCCACTCAAAAATATATTGTTTTATATAAAATTCATTAAGATATATATATATATATATATATTAGCTGTACACTTTACGAATATAATAGTTTTTTATGGACAACTTTACCATTCAATCTCGTCCAACTGATCTTGTAGCTGTCACTCCTCCGCTCTTGGTAGTTCAGGCATTTATCAAACCTGGCAACTCCGGGCTTCCTTGCAGCTGTCAATCAAAGTCCAGTGGCTCCGCCCCAAAGGGCCAGAAACGTTTCACGCGCGTAGACAGACTCCGGCCCAATCCCAAACCACTCCCTCGACCCTACCCCTCCGTGATGGAGTGAACTCCGTCTGTAGCCACACTCGCAGCTCAACGAGGCTCCCTCCTGTCAGATGGAGGGAGTAAATACAGCAGCAAGCTTTGTGACGGCCTCCCCTCTCTCCGGCAGAAACAGGAAATGCCGTAACTGTATGTAACAACGGTTTCAAATCAGCATCTCTTAGACAAAAAGTTTAAATGAATAACTCAAAATAAAACTCCAAACATCTTTCATTGTGTTTCAACGCTCTTTTAGTTTTAAACCTGATGTTTATAAGCTTCTTAGTTTTTGCAACGGTCTGTAAATATACACAACCTTATAATAAAATGCACACATTTACCTTTTTCTAGACTAAACACAGGTATGATCCTAAATTAAAAACATATGAGGTCATCATGAGGTTGTTAACATCGCAGTTTATCAGTGGATGTTTGCTGGAACTACTTGTAAACAGCGTGTTTCCTGAGGGACACACACAGCGGGACTCCGGTCAGGTAGAGACCGGTCTCAAGTCAGCACCGCTGCAGACTCGCTGTTTGAGGGCTTGATAGCCCACTCCCCCTCCACACTCGTTGCTTTGGAACAGCCCTCAATATGGCGGACCCTCCGCGTGAACGCGCAAACGGAGGGGTAGGGTGTAGGGGTAGGGTGTAGGGGTAGGGTGTAGGGGGCAGTTTGGGAATGGGCCTCCGCGAGGCTGACACTCCCGGGAGCGAGCAAGAGGGCTGTCTCTCTCGCGAGCGAGCGCATAGCCGCTCGCGGGGGTTTAATCTGCGCGCAAGGGTCATTTTATGCGCGTGTAAAAGCACATTTTCCGCTCGTCAGTAGCTTGTTTTACGCGCTAGAATATTGACCCAAATCTGACTCCATACAGGATGACTGAGAACACGTTCCCAGCTGCAGCCTCAGGGTGTATTTGCTGGGGGTGAGACCATACTGTAACGCACCCAGCCACATCTGGAAGCTGGCTCCAACAGTCACTACACAGGGCCACGCAACAGCTGGGATTCTGTGCTTTGCTGAAGGGAACTTTGAGCATTGCCATAGCACAGTTTTTCAAATCTGTCGACAAATTAAAACCTTAAATATTGTGTATCTACACAAGCTGCTCTAACCAAAGCTACATATGAACTGTAGAAATAACATATTACAAATATATACCAAACTTGTTCCATAAATAATGGAATTGGATTTATTGTCTTAGAGTTAATGCCTTAAAGTCGCAAACCATAATTATAGTAATGAAGCTTTTGGCGAAGGTTTAAGCAGGACGACAATTAACCATCCTATTTTATCATCACATTATAGCTGACTCAGTTATGTTGTCAGAGACTGACGCTCAGGAAGTAGAACAGGACATCCTTTGGTCACAAGGTTGGTGGTTTGCTTCCCCAGCTCTGAAACATAATTGAGCAATACACTAACTACATTACTCCAGATGTGAAGGCCAACACATGTATTGGTAGTTATGCCACCACTGGTGTACGACTGTGTGTTAAAATGTGTGAGTAAAGTATAAACGTTGACTTCAAACTTGTGATTTTCGATAATAGACCGCTGTGGCAACCTACAGAATACAGACTGAATGTTTTAGTAAGCCCAGGTCCCAGGGTGAGACCCCACACTAACCCCCAAAACACACCAGGAGCGTCTGCGCCGCGTTACGTTGCGGCAGCGCCACGCTGCGACCTCTTCCTGCGACAACACACACCAGACGCGTTTCAAAACGTTGCGGAAGCGGAGCGTCGTGTGTGCAGCCTCGCAGTTGTTGTTGATTTTGGAATATTTCCTGGACATTTGTACTTCTACAAGTAAGTAGGCTACGTAGTTAAATGGTTTATGTTTGTGTCTGTTTAAATCGTGTTTATTGTTGTTATTTCCTATTTTGTTGTGTTGTAGACTACAGACACAGTTAATAATAATTGTAATATTCCAGTTATAAACGACATGAATCAAAGATGTGTTGCTGTATTTTAGTGGTAAAAAAATATGTATTCATCATCATAATTATTCCATATATATATCATTTACAGTGCCTGTAAACCGGAGGAGAACGCTGGCATGTATTCTCCTACTTGAAAGACTACGGGGGGATGGGGGGAGGAGTTTACCTTACGGCTGCGCCGCGGCAAAAATAGGGTTCATCCTAATTTTAGAGAAGCGCTGCGCCGAGCCGCTTCTGGGACGCGTCTGAGCCGTAACGCGGCGCGTGTGGTGTAATAGCACCCATTGACTAGAGTGGCCGCGATCCTTACGACCGCCGCGGCGCGGCCGTAACGCGACGCAGACGCTCCTGGTGTGTTTTGGGGGTTACACAGCTGGGGTAACGTCCCCACATGACATGCTGTGAGTACAAGGAACATTCAATGTACTTACAGCAGTACCCAGGGTGACAAACTACATCAAATCTGATTTCATCCTGGCCTACAGAAAAACTACAGACGCTATAGTGTGTTTCAAAACACACTCAGCAATCACTTATAAGCTTTCTATATCAGGGTGACCTGGATCCTTAAATGCATTTGGTGACCTGAAGTGAAAAGCATTTACTGTTGCTCAGAGATGTAGACATTTCTGAATAATTACTGAGCTTCAATTAAACATGCTAATGGCATGGACATGCAATGGTTGTGCACATGCTTTCCTGTAAAGTGGGGCAGTACAGAGCAGAGATTTAATGTAAGACATTTCTACAAATCTGACCATAATGATAGAAAGCATGAATATTACAATACTTAAAACCTTAACTGACTTACATTTCTAAGAAAACGACTAGTTGTTTTACCTTTATAAACATATCATGTACCAGCCTGATATGTTGGGAGTACAACTTGAATAGGAGAGGTTTCTGTATTTCAATTAAAAATGTAAATGTTGAAATGGTTCATGCCTTGATGGACTTAATTCAGGTCTTTAAATGTCTTGCCTATGGCATGTTTTAAAACCCTGTCATTATGAATAATTTTGAAGCATCAATTAAGCATTCAAATGGTCAATTAACTCTGTAAATCTTTGTTTAGCCATGCGGAGGAGCTGCAGGCTATGTGTTACTAAATACATGTATACACAGACAGGCTTCTCAAATGTCCAAGAACACAACCATCAATCCACACATATTCACTTTCTGTTCTTTTATAGTGGTCTACGACAGCCATTTGTGACAGCGAGACATTACAAACTCTCTATGTTAATGGAGGAATATTAAGCCAAACCTCTCTGCCAAATGACTCTTCCATCTGCCATTCTCCTTTAAATGTGTTTCTGGATCTCCCCACTGTTTCACCACCTCCCCTCTCCATTTTTCTCAGTTGTTCCTTTATGATGTTGCTATTTCATTTATGCATCTCTTCCCTTTGTTCTCTGCAAACATGGATATAAATCAGATTGTTTTCAATTCCAGACTCCAGCATTTGGGCAGCAGTAGAAGGAAGAGGTTTTTGAGATGAATGGCTGACCTGTAAAACGCACGCACGCACGCACGCACACACACACACAATGTGTCCAGCACCTACAGCCAAACATCTCTTTGAGGTTTCATGGCCGTGTCTTATGAAGGAAACGTGCGCTGCCAAAGCAGATTTGTTTCTTTATATCTCTCAGATATACATTTGGCATTGTTTTCATACAGTGTTTGCAAATAAACTTAACTAACCCTGCCTCGGGCTTGGCCATTATCATTTATTCTACAGGAGACAAGAATCATTTTGTAGACCAGAACAACCTACGGCTAGCGGGTTGGAATAACAGTCAAAGTAAACATTTAAAAAAAGAGGATTATCATTAAGTGGAACTGTTTATAACAAAGTGGAGTTGATGAGCGTCCTAAGAATACTAATTAAAGAGTAAATCTGAAGGTTGCAGCATCATAAATGCAGTGGAACAGATCACAATTAAAGTAAGGCATAAAATACTAAATAATAACATATTTTAAGGTTAATGATTCTAGATATAATCTCATAAAGACTTTGAAATATGTTAGTTTGTTTGCTTTCTTTTGCAAGTGGTTCTACACAAAATTAAACAATTATATTATCTATCAATTAGCTCACAATGTAAGCAGTGACATTGGCAATGTGTGGATCAGATTATTGATCTATCCTAACTGCACACTGACATTACAGACACACATTTCTCAAAACAGACACAAATGATAATAACGTATATAAGTACTTTATGAAATACAGTACATTGAGCACCCAAGTGGCTCAACTGGGTTTGAAACCTACCCATGGCCCTTTGCTGCATGTTGTCCTTCCTCTCTCTGCCCCTTTCCTGTCTATCTCTGGCTGTACTATCTAATAAAGGCACAAAAAAACAACAACATTCTTTAAGAAAAATACAGTAGAAATGAATTAAATTCAGGCAATGCATTACTTTTCTATTGGCTCTATTGACACAGGCACTAACTGAGATTCTGAATCAACTTTCTCCTCTTCAGGCACTCGAATCGACCTTCTGCTAATGTACAACACCAATGTACATTAATGTGAGATGACTGACAGGTGACAGGGAGTAGCCAGTCAATCACGAATAATTAATCAACTAACTTATCACACTGACACCATCCATTAACATGTTGATTAACCTTTTAAACTAATTAAGATCAATTAAACCAGTTAAAAGCAAATCTCAAGGGGAGTGGTCAGGATGTCAGTCAATCAATCAAGAGGAAAGTCTGAGAGAGCCAGAGATGTAGTTCAGAGGGGGAATGAGGACAAGAGAGAGGACAGGGGAGTACAAACAGATAGGAGAAGGGGGGAGAACACAATTAAAGGAAGGGAAGAGAAGGATGAGTTTTGAAAATTATTTGAACTCTTAAAAGGTCCTTTCTACAATTGATATGCTGCATGTGTACATTAAGCATACTGGTTTGACTTTCACTTGTTATTCTTCAAAACTATGCCAATACTGTACCTAATTTAAATCTGTCAGTGTTTTTAAAAGAAACATTTGCAGTGACGAGTCATCTGGGGTCACATTCAACCTAATGCGCCTGTCATACCAACAGATTGGGAAATTATGCAAAGTTAATATAAAATCATACATTTAATTAATTGTTTCATTTGCTTAATTGTTTAATTTGACCTCAGTCGTGTAAAAGGCACATGTGACCAATAACATTTTCCTCAAATCTAAATATTTAATGAGAGTAATTTCAATGAGCACTAAATGGTGTTTAAAGAGGTAAACAGCTGGAATCAATTTGCTGGTTAAAGAGTGGAAACATTTATAAAATACCAGCTATAAAATGATATGTTGGTTAGCTTGCTCAATGCAATGATGTCAATTTCTACCTAAAGAATGTTATATCGTCTGTTTAAAAGATGAAGATAAATCCAACAATATTTAAAAAGTGTTTTCAGTAATGATCATGACAGCAAAAAATAGCCCTACGAAGATGAGCAAATTAATATAATTACTGTCGGAAAGAACCACAATGTTTAACAGGCGATATAGAAAAATATACTGTTTTGTCTGGAAAAATAGTCACAAAAAGAGAGGAAGAAAAACATTTGAGTTGAAATGAAAGATGTAGAAATTGAAACACACTCACATCACTTTGAATGGAATTTCAAAAAATGACATGTAGAAACTCACATAAGGTGTCCAAAATTGTCTTTGGAGTTTTTCCCTGACAAACTATACAAACAAGTGGTTCCAGTTCTGCTGACAGCACACGGCACACATGCTCCAGAGAGATGGCATTTTGGATGGGTCGGTGCACACTTTATTTGTCTATCCTGAGTCTGCTTGGTATTTCGGTGACTTGCTGTGAACTTGAATGTGCTGTGAAGTGAGAGCTGAGGCACAGTGGGGAGTGTGTCAGTAATAATCAAGTGGCACAGTGCAATTTTGGTGTCAAGCATGGCCATGATTTACGCTCGTACTGCCCGCCTGCTCAGCCCAGGTCAATGACGCAGGGGGAAGGCACACAGCACTGTTTCCATAATTCTACTGGTAAACAACAAAGATAAACTCACAACTAAACCACGCTCCAAATGATTTGATTTAGGGGATTAAAGGTGATTGATGCCAACCCTAACGCTTACTGCTAGTGTATTTCAATCACACCCTGCGTCCAACTGTGCGGCAGATGCGCAACAAGCCTCTGGCCATGAAAATATCAAACACAGCTCCGTGCCCTATGAACGTCGGATGTTGAATGAACTCTGTGCGCCGTGCACTGGTGATTCACAGACAGAGGCCAATAGTGTTTAATGGTACCAAACAACAGGTGATCAGAGACTAAAAAACATGGGAGGTTGGTAAGAAAAACAAGTAGAGTGTAATATAAACCCCTGTCTGTTCCACATTCAGCTCTCATTATCGCTGTTTTGAGACATGGACGTTGCCAAATCATTTCCCTCATGTTCTCCAACAGTTGAGAGTTTATGTCGAATTGTACACCTTTGAGCAGTTAACCGAGAGAACAAGAAAGTGTAGAAGAGAGAAAACTAGAAAGAATGGAGATGCAGTGATAGAAACTGAAGTAGAGAAGAGACAGGAAGAATGGAGTCAACAAGCGTACTTAAAGGGTGATAGAGACACGTTGAAGGGTGAAAACTGTCTGTTGAAAAGGAAAAAAGAAGCAGAGAACCAAAAGAAAAGATCACAGGAGCTAAAGAAGAACCTTACAAATAACAAAGAAATCAGGAGATATTTTACAGAGTTCTATTAGTCATTAGATTCATCATGATATTGTTTCTCTGTTTGTTGTCACAATCTTACCTTGATAATGTGTGCTGAAACCACGGTAACGGTGGTTGTTATCAGTCACAAAATGCAGTCGGAGCCAGTTCTTGTTGCTAATGACGGGAGAGGGTACATTACTGCCTGACAACCTGAAAGAGAGAAAGAAAAAACATTTGTTAACATTTGAAAAAAACAACACACACATTCCCAGACACCTAAACTTAAGCCCTTACTCTTTCCCGTAACTAATCCTAAACTAGGCCCTAGAGGACCAGACACAAGAGAGTGTTGCAAACATGCCTTGCTCTGAAACTTCAATTGGCTCTTTTAAAAATAGAAGTACATATGAGTACGAACAAAAACACCTTAGAAGAGCAGCAAAGAAACACTAAAAATGGTGTATCCATTCTGTAAAAGAACAAAGCTCGAGTCTGTTAAACAAGGTTGTCAAGCTGTACAAATTTCACTGCAACAACAGAGAGAATCAATATGCCTAAGGTTTAGTTTACTTTGCTTTATTTCACTTTCTCTCTTGCCTGTGTATCATGGTGTGTGTTACTGCTGTCTACAATGGAGTCAGAACAAAGCCCATTGTGTATGTAATGACGCAGAGTGAATGACAGCAGGACTGCCCAATACAACCTCTCTATTACCACTTTAAGGTTCTATTGGGATAATGCTGCTTACTTAATACAGTAGAAATGTTCGGTTTTTATTAATTATTCTTGCTACGAATGCCAAATCCTGACAGCTGGTTAAGGTAAGGGATTTGACTCAACAACTCAGATCCGATCTCATGGTGGTTTCTGATGCTTTTGTACATTTGAAGAAGAAGAAGAAAAATAAGACATGCTTTATTAATCTCTCACAGGGAAATGTATTACTCAATTGTGTGTTATATTGGACCGCATTCAATTAATTCATATGACTAACTATTAAGTCCACCGCTATTACCCTATACGGTACCTAATAGACTGTTATATGGACATATTACAATGTTTCAAACAACTACCCGACGATGAAACTGCAATATTGCAATTTTAACAATGGTAGCTTTTTACATAGAAGCAAGCTTATGAACTGAGGTTTTGATAGGGCACGGCACCAGCAGATAGGAGCCAATTTGCAACTCTTTCATCAACTGTGGAGGATAAGATCCCTTAATTGGCTGAGAAGATGAACAGGGCTCTTGTGGTTAGCAAAGTGAGTGTTAGGTCATTACTGGTAGCCTGAGAAGAGGTGACTGCTATCCAGTTGGCACTTTGAGAAAAAAGCCTCCCTGTTGCTGCTGGTATTATTTCCCATAACTGCAGCTGAAATGCAATCTCAGGCAATAACCTTCGTCTATACACCAGCTCTTTGATGTATGGTGCTTTCATCTTGTAGCGTCAGCCAACAGGTGCCTTTTCTACTCACATCACATTGTCATAGTTTTTATTTGAGTAATTTCACCTCGGCTGTTACATTTGAGACACAGGTATGCGTGCAAATGTGATTGCCCTCCCATGTTTGCTTGTCTCCTTGTATAAACCCATGCTGTTAACCTTCACAGTCCATTAATATAAACACACACACAGGCACACAAATGCTCACACACACATGGATAGTGACATTACAGTATATACTACCCAACAGGAGTACAGTCTAATAACAGCGGTATGAGGTGGAGCACACAAATGCTGAGCAGGTGTTTTAAAAGGTGTGTGTGTGTGTGTGTGAGAGAGAGTGAAGCAGAGGGAGGGTCACCTTGCGACCTAGATCAGTGGGATTCTCTGATGTCTGCTATTAGTCACAAACACCCGTAAACACACAAACACACTCTCAAACACACAGGTCCAGACAGGCACAGGCTGCTTGATTTACAAACTAAACAACACAGGAACACAACTGTGAGTGTGGCAAACATAAATACATTTGGTATAAATGAAGTTAGCATATTATAATAATTGTTTAGGCACTTTATTGACAGTAACACTGTGATAGCATTAGCTTCATTTTCTGGAATGGGTCCTTGCAATTATTAACTAGGTTGAATAGGGAGGCGTGTGGCGCAGTGGATAGACCCTTGGTGTTGGGATCAGGGGAGCACAGGTTCAAACCCCACTGCAGTCAGCATGTCGTTGTGTCCCTGAGACACTTCACCCCAAATTGCTCCTGTGGGGATTGTCCACAGTACTGAGTATGCAAGTCGCTTTGGATAAAAGCGTCTAACATGTAATGTAATGAATAAATTGTCAGCAATAGCAAAAACCATGGACATAATCCCAAGTGGAAGCAGATATGGATGCAGACAGACGTTTACAGATGTAGTTTGTTCACACTGTTCAGGGGCCTCATTTATAAAGGGATATACGCTCCAAAAATGGCGTACGCCAGTTTCTATGCAATGTTTGCGATTTATAAAATACTAACTTGACGGGAAAACGTGCGGTCCTCCACGCAAACTCTAACCCATGCGTACGCACTAAGCACAAAAACGGGAGAGACGAGAAACTGCGACACCGTTGGCAGAAGGAAGAATGGAGAGACATATGTGGAAATAATACCATAAATAAAATGTTACCTCTCATTTATCATATATGAAGAATTCATTTTCAAACATTGATTAAAGCCAGTCTTAAAACGATTAAACAAACGCCTGTTTGCGACTCCTCGGTGCACACAAAAACATAACTTGGAGAAATAAATAAATACGGATATGTTATTTAAAACCACCTCAAATATGTTGTGTTAATGTTATGAAATGTTTTCTCATAAATGATGCAGTAAGCAGGAGGACAGCATTACTTTAAACTGACGCCGTTTTGCATTTCTATAGGTTGTAGATACGAGCATGGTTTTATATACTATCATGTTTATTCGTGTTTTATGCCGTTTGCCAAGACTTGATAAGTGGCTCGTAAAACACAGGAGGTATGGAAGCTAAGAACACCATATGTGGTAAATTGTACAGCTAATATAACACAACACATTAGTTGTATTTTCTTTAACTGGTGGATATAGGGTTGCTGCTGGGAGGGGGGGGGGGGGGGGGGGTTGAGACGCACAGGCTGCAGTGGAGAAGCTGCGCACAGCTGATCGACAGCTGGAACACAAACCACCAAATACAAAAACAAAATTCAGATCCAGTCGTCATGACTCCACTCCGGAGGGATTCCCCGATCATTTCTTACAGTCTCTCATCAAGGGGGGGTCTCCTGTCCCCGGTACAAACACACTGCCTGAGGAAGGCTCCACTTTGAGCGTTAGAACTATTAACGAAGCACTTTTATACTAATAAAGGACTGGCTTACCTAAAGCCAGTTGAGTAGCACTTGAAATGTTTGGCTCTATGAAACCTGATGTACTTATATGATTCTGTTTTCTTCAAGGTTGTGTCTTCCTGGTCGAATGTACTTATTGTAAGTCGCTTTGGATAAAAGCGTCAGCTAAATGCAATGTAATGTAATGTAAAAGGCTATGTGTATTTTTTTTGTCATTAACTTTTTTCGGACCACTTATTTATTTATGTTGGTGACGATCCGACCTCCATGCTGCTACTCTGGTTCAAACTGCATCCACCAAACAATATGATTTATCTCCACCTCCTCAAAATAACCAGAATCTGACACGGTGTGAGATGTATTTTTTAACTGTTCTGTCGTCATTTCCTGCGATCTTCTTCATGCAGTCAGTCAAAATGAATGAATGGGCGTTTCTTTGACTATTTATAGGCAAATATGGGCGTTACGTGAAGCCCGCAAAAGCTGCACCGCATTTCGAGTCGATTGTGATTTATAAAGGGAAACCGGCGTAGGAAGTGCTGTACGCACTTTCCTCGCCGGTACGCAATGTTTGGTGAATCGGAAAATGTCGGAACATTTCTGTACCTATTTTTTGGATTTCTACTAAGCAACCTTCCCACGTGAATCCTATGCACGGTGTTATAAATGAGGCCCCAGGAGTTTTAGGAAACATTCCCACTTACAATCTTGTGTCATGGTCACAAATACAAATTATACACGTAAGTCATCTATTTGTATCTCATTAGTTGATCTGAAATGTACATATGCTTCTTCTGCCTCTGTATTTATCATTTTTATTTGTATCCAACAATTATTAAATCTGGTTATATCATCCAATGTAAAAAGTAAAGAAAAACTGCATGAGCATCTTATCTCTTAATAGTATTACTGATAGCAATACGTGATTTAGCTGGAGTTGTTTGTAGGACATCCTTTTTGCACCCTCTTCATCTCTACGAACACCGACACAACTACCTCTCCCCTATTCCCTCTGAATCCTCTGCTCTCCTCTCTATATCTCTTTATAAGTGCACTCTCTCACACATATTATTATTATTAATGTTTACAACTCTCAATTCATTTCATGCTATGATATCATTACCCAGAGTGCATCATTAAGGTCAGAGTGAGTGTATGTTCAATCTGTTCCAATATAAAAACAGGAATTAAATCATAAATCAATAGCGAGAGCCTGTGTGTGTGTGTGTGTGTGTGTGTGTGTGTGTGTGTGTGTGTGTGTGTGTGGTGTGTGTGTGTGTGTGTGTGTGTGTGTGTGTGTGTGTGTGTGTGTGTGTGTGTGTGTGATGCTAAAATATAGAATTGCATGCTCAGGAAGCACTTAACAACTCCAAGCTGCAAGACAAAGGTAAACATGTCTCTTGGAGCAGTAGCTGGAAGATTAAAGAAACACTCTGGCGACTAAAAAGGTCAACAATCTGGTTGCCTGCAGCAGCTGGAAACATCTCCTGCTTAGGAGCCAGGAATTAAATACATGAAGGACAATGCTGCTGGAAAAAAAAGACCGTGAGTGCTTGGTAACTACTTTTGTGGACATGTAAAGCTTTCAGTAGGAAATCAAATGGTCCCAAAAAATCAGCTTCTAAGCTGCTACAGTAAGAAGCAACAGTAGTTGATTTTCCCCTAGTGGACAATTTGTAATGCATTATTAAATCATTCATCCATGCTGATGGCTTCTGTCTGTGACTGGTAAGTGTTCTCCCCAGATATCTGCTATAAAAGCACTTTAGCGCTGCCCCGAGGTAGATCATCTTCAGATAGGCTCAAATCATTTTTCTTTAAATTCCTTGATATGAGAGGGTGTCCTACTCTGGGATTTGACAGTTCAGAATACATTGGGTGAATTA